GGAGACTGTTCAAGGAAGTTATGCGAGGTAAGGCGTCTGCAACTACATTATTTGCTCCAGAGATGTGTTGAATATCCGAGGTAAACTGCGAAATGTAATCCAGTTGTCGAGACTCACGAGGAGAGTACTTGTCAGAAGGAGAGCTTAACGAGAAAGTGAGCGGTTTATGGTCCGTGAAAAGAGTGGATTCACGGCCTTCGATATAGTGTTGGAAATGCCGTACAGCACAATACATAGCTAGGAGTTCCCTACCAAATGTGCTTTACCTCGATTCGGAGTCTAGCAACATTGTAGAGAAAAATGCCAAGGGTCGCCAGGAGTTGTTAACCCATTGTTGTAAGACTCCTCCGATTGCCGAGTCGGATGCGTCTACTGCGATACTAATGGGTGCTTCGGTGTCCTGATGTGCGAGCATTGTTGATTTAGCAATCAGTTCCTTAACTGTGGAGAATGCTTTTCGTGCGGTGTCGTCCAAATTAATGGATTTCGCATTTCCATGAAGTTGGTCGGTTAGCGGTTTCATGAATAATGCGCATTTAGGTATGAAATGTCTATAGAAACTTACCAGGCCGTTAAACGTGCGTAATTGCTTGACGGTGGTCGGTTCTAGGTAATCCAGAATGGCCGCCACTTTGGTTCTAAGGGGTCGAATGCCTTGAGCATCGATAGTGTGTCCCGGAAAGTCTAATGAGTCGGTCCCAATTTGGCATTTCTGAACGTTTACAGTTATGCCATGTTTTTGTAGTCGTTCGAAAACAAGATCCAAATGCTTGAGATGTGATTCTCTGTCTGAACTTGCGATTAGGCAGTCGTCAACCTACGCATGTACGAAGTTGAGACCTCGAAAAACGTCGTCTATGAATCTTTGGAATGTTTGAGCAGCGTTCCTTAGACCGAAAGGCATTCGCAGAAATTCATAGAGTCCGAAGGGAGTTATGATAGCTGTTTTCGGTATGTCGTCAGTAGCCATAGGGATTTGGTTATACGCTTTAACCAAGTCGATTTTCGAAAAGACAGTTGTACCTTTCAAGGTAGCTGTCAAATCGTGAATTTGAGGTGACGGGTAACGATCGGGAATGGTTTTTGCATTCAATCGCCGATAGTCGCCAGTTGGACGTCAATCGTTGCTGTTCTTTTTAGGAACCATGTGCAACGAAGATGCATAAGGGCTACTTGACGGTCGTATGATTCCTAAGTCTATCATATGGTCGAAATCGTTTTTTTCTGACCTTAGATTTCCAGGAGCTAGTTGTTGTGCTTTAGAGAATACAGGTGGTCCTGTAGTCGTGATGTGATGTGTAACGTTGCTGGTTACACACGTTAGTTTCGGTTGAGTTTGTTGTATCCCAGGGTACTTATCGAGTAGTGGTTGATAGAGTGGGTCTATCATATGTTTAACTGTGACTGGGGATACTCTACAACCAGTAAAAGAAGTTACGCAAACGGACAAATTACTGTTTCCGTCTACTAGCCTCCGTTTGCACGTGTCGATGATCAGATTATGGTGTTGTAGAAGATCCATACCAATGATTGGCATAGAAACATCTGCAACAACGAAGATCCAGTGAATGTGTTTGCGCGAATCCATGTTAGGGTAAACGTACCTTTTGCCGTACGTTGCGATCGGTTTTCCGATTGCCGCCTGTACGTTTAGAGCCGATCGTTGGGATTCTCTGGGAGAAAGCTAACTTCTGCGCCAGTGTCGACGGGGTAGCGAACTCTTGTTGTCACATCTGTGACGTATAACAGGCGGCAATGTTCGCCGGCTACGGTTGCCGTTAACACGTGACGGCTTGGAAGTTTCCCGAGTCAGTCGGTTTTGAGTTGGGAAAATTGCAGGGTTTCCTGTAATGACGTTTAAGTGTATTACATAACTCGGTTATGTCGTTCTGAGTCGTTTGAGGCTTTTCTTTGACTGAAAAAGCTTCGGTAGTAGAAAATTTCGTAATTTCTAAAATGCGGTCGGCAGATGCAGCCAGTTCGTCTAAGGCGTTGTTTTGAAACGAGACAAGCACAGCTTGCACCTGTAGAGGAAGTTTAAACAAGAAAAGTTGTTTAAACAGGCCTTCGTCTAAAGTTCTTAGGCCTATAACCTCTCTCATCCTTTGCAACATGTCCGTCGCGGAACCGTGTTGCAGGTCGATGTTATTGAGGAGTTCGTCTAATCTTTGTCGATCGGTTAGGTCTCCGCGTTTAAGAATAGAACGTTTTAGCGTTTGGTAAGGCTCAGAAACATCACTAGTAAACATACTAGGTGTTACGCACCTGTTGAATTCGCGCGGTAGTGCCTTGTGTACTGCGAGGAATCGCGCACGTGTGTCGATCACGCCGTGCTCGGAGAAGTCGGCTTCTGCGTAGCAAAACCAGGATTCGATATTGTCGGGTCAGAAAAGCATACGGTGAAACGAGGGTGGGGAAATGGTCTTAATCTTAAATACTTTATTTGCCTGTTCGTTCATGATGAAATATGAAGTACGGTAATGAACGAGGGAAAATATATATATATCCAAGAAAAAACACGAAAAAAAATCACAACGTTTAAAAAATAAGGCAATAATATATAAAAATCCCAAAAAGGAACAGATTCACAGTTGCAATTAGGTGTACCAGATCATGTCGGTCTCACCAATGAAGATGATACAGATATTCAGTGTTTGGCAACGCTTTTACCAGTAACACCTTTTTATATAATTCGTAACCACCAAGAGAAATCAAAAGACAGAGTCGAGGAGATCGGAAGAGTATATTTGGCGATAACCAATATATCGGAATTCTCTGATCTAATCTGGCTAGCGATTGCAGTAGCAGTTGAGCATGGCGTTACCACACAGGATCTGGTACGGATGCCTTCAGCTAGATGAGTCCACTAAAACATGTGGTCAACATCCAATGTCGAAAACTTACAGAGCTATTTATTTTGGAGATTTATTTACCGCTACAGTAAGTAGAGCTGCCTGTTTCTAATGAGTTTACTTATTCAAATCACTCTGATTAAAAGTAGGAAAAAATGCTTTTGGTACTGTTGCGATACGGTACTAAGCCCATGTTATGCTTTGCACAAGTCATAGTAGCTGACCTGATCTAATACTCATGAACCCAAGGTAAATCACAACTGCATAAATTATTTGCTAAAAAGCATGTAATTCGGTTATTTATCTATTCCACATTCCTGACTAAATTGATTACTATTTTTTCATTTAGAATGCAACAGGAGTGAAGCTTCACAGATCCTTAAGACTGTTCACGGGAGACTCAACTAACAGCAGATTGCAAAAGGGATGCTGAACGTCCATCCTAGTCTCACAACCACTTCCAGTATTTTCTGAGTTGCTTCTTTTACCCTTTCGTTTGGAAAAGAACAGCAAAGACCGCAGCTTAACATTACCATTGCAACTCTTAAACGGGAACTTGGTTTAAACCTTTGTTTGATATTCGATTTCTAATGAAAGTTCGTGAATAAATTTTTAAATCTAATGCTGCTTTGTTTTATCTACTTAATCGTTGCAAGAAACTTGTGATACACGAGCCTCTCAGCATCTAGTTCATATGTAGTAAATCTAAGTGACTTGGTAAATATCTTTGTTATTTTCTTGGGAAACCTACAGACTCGGATGCTCTCATAATTTATTCTAACCACCATGGATAGACACGCGTTACACATCCTAACCGTACCCGCGTCTAATCTTATTGCTCCTTATTCAAATGCCATATGATAAAGCAAGCAATGCCCCTGCCCGCACTAATGGAACACTAGTAACTCACAGGCACCCTGTATTGCACCTTAGATAGGTCTACGCACTCGCTTTGCTCTTTAGTGGGAATATTACTACAGTCCTGCTAAAAATCACATGAACCCCTTATCTCCATCAAAACAAATGTCTGTATTGGCTGCATATAGCAATTTTATCTTTCAGAAGATATAACAGTTAGAATTAGAGTAAAATGGAAGTATACAGCAGATACATGTGGTACATGTCTTCACTGATTAACTGAAATAGAGAGTACGGATATTAGCTTAACAGGCTTATTTAGAAAGACTAGTGTCTAATTTGAACTTACCGCGTGAGAAGGTTATACTGGAACTACGAATGTTGTAGAAATAGAGTTTCTCGGAGCGTACGGAGCACTCAAACTGGAAGACAGTTGTCCAAAAATGATTTGAATATGAAGGTGAAAATTTGCAGGTACTTTTCATCGTAAGGGTAAACATATTAGGTACCGGTTGACATCATACCGTAAAAAAACAAAAATTTGAGAGTGGTGAAATATGATCTGTAAAAAAGTCAGCTTAATAACAGTTAATTGCCTTTTACTCCGTGATCACGACCCTTCGGCTTCCTTTTATGGCCAAAACAGCAAACATACATTACACACTGGTAGCAGATTTCCGGCTTTTCAATGTTAAGCTTGCTTTAACACACTACGTAATGAGTACAACTCGTCTATTACTGCTATATGGCATATTTTTTATAACAAACCCTCTGCAATAGGTTGGTAGCATCTGTGACTTCACCTGTAGTTGTCGGAAGTCTGGGTCCTTTCGAAATCAGTACTGATATCCACTACTGCTGGGCACTCAGTATTAGTTTGACTCGTTGGTGGGGTGGTGTTGTCCATAATACCGAAGAAGATTAAAAACCGTAGATTGTTTCCCTTCATTTTGCCGTTAATATCATAAAGGACAGTAAGGAACGAACATGCGAACAGTTAGTCACAGGCGGCAGCAACAATTATTTTAGCTAAATAAAAACGAACTTCGGCTTTGGATATCTAGAAAACAAGGTTAAACATAACCGATTATCATTTAAAAACATAAGGTTTTATGTTAGTACTAGCCAGCTTAGCTGAATAAATACATTGACTTCAGTAGCAGCAGGAAAGACCCAGAAAACAAAACAAAATCAGGAAAACTTTTGCTCCAACGTTTAGAGTATTACATTAACTTCCGCATTTTAGCACACTGAAACATTAAATTACATAGCTACACAAAAGAAATAGCTGAAAAAATCACAGAACGAAGAAAACCGACCGCCATTGCTTACAAAGAAGGCGGACATAATGATTCCCGCTTCATTTTGATTGGTTGTTAAGCTGAAGGGCACATTTACGAATTTGAGTTGCGTTTAATTGCAGCCTGGCTAAACTCAAATCAAATCTAAAATGGTCTTGATTTGACCGCTTCTGCAAAACTTGACTAACTATCGAGGTGACGCGCCAATCACTTTACAACAGTTTGACCTTGAAGTGCTCAGCGACCTCCATCAGTGGACGAGACCCCTGAAGCGTTGCCCCTCACATCAATCCTCAAATGAATCTAGCATATCTTGACGGTTAGTTTTCCTAAATCTTCGTTTTAAACTGTTCATGTGAAAAGCATTCTCTGTAAGTTCTCAAGACAAAATAAAGTCAGTATTTGTATCGTTTCGAAAAGGGCAGTGATTTTTGTACTTATTGTGATTATCCTTGGTTTGTGTACTTGTTGCATCGTAAAGCATTCTTGGTCTAGCTTAACTATAAGAACTTTCGGTTAAGGTTTGAAATTTTTGTTAAACTTTGTCCTGTGGTACCTCTTTCTTTACTCATTGACTGACACTACGTGTTCATATTGTGATCGTATTGTGTTTCAAACCTTTTTAATCAAATTACAATGGTTGGTAAGACTTGTAAATGTGGACAACCAAACTGCCTGTTCCCCGTTAAGGAAGGAATGCATTGCAATGAATGTAAAACGTGGTACCATAAGATGTATAAACGTCTAAGTCATACAGCATACAAAAGTTGCTCGAAGCCTAACTCGCATTAGCTTTCTATGCTTCTGCTGTACAAGTAAATAGTTACTGCTCCAGAAGGCTATGAGCCTATTGGCTTTAGGCCTATAAGAAAAACGATGGGAGTTGCCCTGATAATATGATTACTGAGACTCAGATTTGTGTAGTGAAAGCAGAAGGCCTACGGCCTACTGTTATTCCTTTCCTAGTATGCTTCTGTGAGTGTTCAGTCTTCTCTTGAAAAAGTAAATTGGAGGTGCGGACAACACTGCTTCGGGCAGCAGGTTCCAAGCATTGATGACTCGGTGTGAAACCCTGTATGCCACGGGTATTTTGTTCGTTCTAGGCTTTTTTTACTCACCTGCTATGTCCTCTGAGATGTCCCGATCTAGTGGGAAGAAAAAGAGAATAAATTAGGTCCAAAATCATTTCTCAGTATTCTGTACATCAAAATGAGATCTCCCCTTAATCTGCGATAGGACAGAGTAAAGAGGTCCAGCTTTTCAAGCCGCTCTTTGTATGGTAAACCCCGGAGTTCTAGAATTGCACGGGTAGCTGCCCTCTGTATTTTTTCTAGGATATCCGAGTCACCTTTTAAACAGGGGCTTGCAGCCTGAATGCAGTTCTCACTAAGGATGTATATACTGTAGTGAACATGGTAGTATCTAACTTAGTAAATGTCCGTTTTAAAGCCCAGAGGGTTCGAAACCCCTTAGCTGAGACTTCCCGGCAATGTGCCGTCGTCTTAAGATCATGACTCACTGTCACCCCTAGATCCTTATGAGACCGGACTACGGGTAATGGCACTTCCCCTATGTTGTACCTATTAACCTTGGAATCCCCAAAATACATGTAGACACGCTTTGCCGCGTTTATAGGCATCAGCCACTCTTTAGACCAGTTTATCATATTATTTAAGTCTGCCTGAAGAGCACATGCGTCTTTGTCTCCAGTTATTACTCGCCAGATTTTTATATCGTCAGCGTGTAATAACATTGGAGACTGTACTATACTTGAAAGATCATTAACATACATTACAAAAAGTAAGGGACCTAGGACGGAACCTTGAGGTACCCCACTAAGCACTTGTCTCCAGATGGAGCACTTGAGGTTTATTCTTACTTTCTGCCTACGACCTACTAGGAAATCCTTAATCCATTTTAAAAGAGGTCCGGAAATATCAAGGTTTTCCAACCTCAATAGCAGTCTATTAGTTGGCACCTTGTCAAAAGCCTTACTGAAATCTATGTAGACAACATCCACTGAGTTTCCGTCGTCTAGCGCATTTATCCAAAACTCCCTTGCTATAAGGAGGTTCGTTGTACAAGATAAACCCTTCCTAAAACCATGTTCTACGTTTAGCAAGTTATTGGTTTCCATAAGTGCCATTATGGTCCGTTTGACTATTCTTTCCAAGATTTTAACTATAACACTGGTGAGGCTTACAGGTCTGTAAGTCGATGGAACTTGTCGTGGACCTGTTTTATGTATGGAAGTGACGATTGCATCCTTCCAGTCCATAGGTAACACACTTTGGTCAAGTGACATATTGAATATCACAGTCAGTGGGGCCGCGATATATTGTGCAATATGTCTCAAGATTTTGGGATGTAGTTCATCTGGTCCTGTTGACTTTTCCATGTTTAAGGTGCTAAGAGCCTTAAGCACATCTTCTTGGTCGAAGTCCACGGTGAGCAGGTGGTTTGTTGACTTCTTATTTTGATCTGGTTCTTTCTCCAGAGGTAATGTTGGGATGTTGCCATCCGCCTTGGCACAGCAAGTACGATGGAACGTTACAAATCGGTAATAAACAAGTGTATAACAAAAATTCGGGAAGCTCAAAGAAAATATGAAATGTAGTTGGCATAATCTGCACTCAAGCAGCCCAAGGGAATATTCTCGTACATAAACTACCGAACAAGGATGCATCATTGGATTCCCAACATAATTAAAGAAGGGTGTGAATCTGAAATGATAGAGGAAGATCAGGAAAAAGCAGAGGCTATGGGTGATTATTTTGGGGCAGTTTTCACTCAGGAACCTCCTCTAGAGAAAGAACCAGACCAAAATAAACAGTCAACTAACCAACTGCTCACCGTGGACTTCGACCAAGAAGATGCGCTTAAGGCTCTTAGCACCTTAAACATGGAAAAGTCAACAGGACCAGATGAACTACATCCCAAAATCTTGAGACATATTGCACAATATATCGCGGCCCCACTGACTGTGATATTCAATATGTCACTTGACCAAAGTGTGTTACCTATGGACTGGAAGGATGCAATCGTCACTTCCATACATAAAACAGGTCCACGACAAGTTCCATCGACTTACAGACCTGTAAGCCTCACCAGTGTTATAGTTAAAATCTTGGAAAGAATAGTCAAACGGACCATAATGGCACTTATGGAAACCAATAACTTGCTAAACGTAGAACATGGTTTTAGGAAGGGTTTATCTTGTACAACGAACCTCCTTATAGCAAGGGAGTTTTGGATAAATGCGCTAGACGACGGAAACTCAGTGGATGTTGTCTACATAGATTTCAGTAAGGCTTTTGACAAGGTGCCAACTAATAGACTGCTATTGAGGTTGGAAAACCTTGATATTTCCGGACCTCTTTTAAAATGGATTAAGGATTTCCTAGTAGGTCGTAGGCAGAAAGTAAGAATAAACCTCAAGGTTCCGTCCTAGGTCCCTTACTTTTTGTAATGTATGTTAATGATCTTTCAAGTATAGTACAGTCTCCAATGTTATTACACGCTGACGATATAAAAATCTGGCGAGTAATAACTGGAGACAAAGACGCATGTGCTCTTCAGGCAGACTTAAATAATATGATAAACTGGTCTAAAGAGTGGCTGATGCCTATAAACGCGGCAAAGCGTGTCTACATGTATTTTGGGGATTCCAAGGTTAATAGGTACAACATAGGGGAAGTGCCATTACCCGTAGTCCGTCTCATAAGGATCTAGGGGTGACAGTGAGTCATGATCTTAAGACGACGGCACATTGCCGGGAAGTCTCAGCTAAGGGGTTTCGAACCCTCTGGGCTTTAAAACGGACATTTACTAAGTTAGATACTACCATGTTCACTACAGTATATACATCCTTAGTGAGAACTAAGCTTGAGAACTGCATTCAGGCTGCAAGCCCCTGTTTAAAAGGTGACTCGGATATCCTAGAAAAAATACAGAGTGCAATTCTAGAACTCCGGGGTTTACCATACAAAGAGCGGCTTGAAAAGCTGGACCTCTTTACTCTGTCCTATCGCAGATTAAGGGGAGATCTCATTTTGATGTACAGAATACTGAGAAATGATTTTGGACCTAATTTATTCTCTTTTTCTTCCCACTAGATCGGGACATCTCAGAGGACATAGCAGGTGAGTAAAAAAAGCCTAGAACGAACAAAATACCCTGGCATACAGGGTTTCACACCGAGTCATCAATGCTTGGAACCTGCTGCCCGAAGCAGTGTTGTCCGCACCTCCAATTTACTTTTTCAAGAGAAGACTGAACACTCACAGAAGCATACTAGGAAAGGAATAACATAGGCCGTAGGCCTTCTGTCCTTACTATACAAATCTGAATCTTTGCTTCTTCTACATTTTAGTGGTTTTAGATATTGAAGCTTATGAAATTTTACTATTGCTTCTCTACGTGAAATCAACGAGAAAATTTTACTAGCATAGATAAATTGTTCACTCAACATTCATGTCAGTTTAGCAAACAGTTTGTATATTTCCGTCTATTCATTAGACTTCGGTGGTCGTGTTAACATTCGTATACGTTACATCAACAGTAGAGGATATAAGCTAAGAAAAATGACCAGAACGCCTGTTTAAATCAGGGTAAACAATATCCTTGGGAATTTCACTGCAGCATATTGCATAGTCTCCTTTTAATTTCCTTTGGATTATTTACTTTCCATACAGATGTCTTTTTGCGTAAAACCTTTTTAATAGTCTTACTTTTAAACAGACAAGGATGAATGTAATGACATCGCTATTGGTATCGATATTTCAGAGGATTACAGTCAAACAAACAATGTCTCTGGTGATTCACTTATCAAAATGAGAGCACAATGGACTGAAGAATTAAAGCAAGTATGTGAAATTTTACTACCAAAGAATAATAATATGCCTATAAGATAAACGTTTCGTGTTGTGGAATTAGAGCTTCGTTGTTTACTTAGTCCTTAACCATATGGTCACCTATTCAAACTATGCTACTCATGGTTGTTAGAGTGGTTGGCCATAAAATATGTCTTAAGTATGAATATAGGTTCTAGTTAGTCTGTATGGTCCCATGCAATAAATGTTTATCCTGTGGCATGATATCATGAGTTATGTACTCAGCCACCAAAAATGTACTCGAGGGTGGTGAATATTTTTTAATACTAAAATTTCTATACGGAATTTGACGGAGTGTGGAGGTATTTAGTCTTCAGTAATAAGGATATTAAGTCGGTGGACCTGTGTTAATCCTTGCAGTTGGTTTTCTAGTTAGAGTCCATCCTCTCGAAAATGTTCACTGATAAAACTGATGCCACTTGTTTGGGTAAGGCATTCAGTCATTGACTACTTAGTGAGAGAAACGGAACCACACTCCAAGTTTATGAGTTCACGGTTTTTGAACCCTTTTTCTACAGCCTCGGAGATGATTAGTTCTGGGGGAGGAGTAAAATGATGAAACATATTAACACTCAAGTCGTTAATAAAAATACAGAAGGCCGATGTAAGGCCACCTCGCGTTCTACGATATGTTATGGGGAAAAGGTTCAGGTTTCAACCCTCATTGTAAGAGATTTTGAAAGTACCTTTCACTAACTTTGTCCTCATACAGTGAACACGCTTGGGTGTGTTAGTATTTTTAGCAACACATAAACAGGCTGCTCGGATACAGTACTCCAGGTGTGCTCTTACATAGGTGGAATATAAAATCCGAAACGTCTCGTCAAAGCATTTGAATGCTCGGTCAAGTGACTAAAACGCTTAAACTCCTTTGATGGCTGTTGCGTTGCAATGTGCAGTTGTTTTTAAGTCGTGACTTACTACTATTATCCCTAACTCTGTTAGTGCATACTTGGAAGCGAAGTACGGTCAGTGGTATACTGGTAATTGTTACTGTGTCCTATGTGCGTTATCACACTTCCTAAACTCAGTTTCTAAGCCCCAACTTTGGTACACCTACCTGATTCTTCTAGGTCAGCCTGGAGATCAAGGTTATTAGCCTCACCACTTTTTGTCCTCCAGATTTTGACATCTGCAAACAGTGAAGTCGACAACCTAAGCAGCGGCGGTAGTTCATTAATGTATAGAAGAAAAATAGGGAAGCTAGGATGTTCTCTTGGGGTACCCCACTCTTGACCGGCTTCTATCGAGTGTCCCATTTTCCCTCACTGTCCTGGCCAGAGAGGAAGCTCTTTATCCGTTATTGTATGGCATCTGTTATTCCAAAGTTAGAGAGCTGCATAAGCCCTAAGTGAGAGACCTTATAAAATGCTCTGATAAAATCCATGAATATCACATCGACAAACTGTCATCTTAGACTTGTCCGATCCTCTCTCGGGATAAGTTGGTTAAGCATGAACTCTGTCTGAAACCTGTGTTGCTTAACCGGTCGCATGAGTCCGTGTTACGTAGTAACAGCCCGGATTTTTTTCATGTAACTTAACTACTATGCTGGTTAGTCTGACAGGTCGGTACGTAGACACGGTGTCTATTTAAGTGTAGGACTAACTATAACATCTTTCCAATCCCAAGGTAGTTGAGTTTGGGAAAAAGATATGCTGGAAAGCGTCATGAGTGGTCCTGAAATAATGTCTGCGAGAGATGACAACAACGGTGGAATTAACCCATCAAGACCTAGTGTCTTATCAGGTCTTAGGCTAATCGAAAAACAGCTTCCACAGTCACATGTATGGGTCCTATAGCTAGTATCTAAGTGGTGGAGTTATGACGAGTGTTATTAACGTTACTTGTAGAGTATACCCCTCACGTTGAAATCTCCAACGATGAGACAACAGTCGGCCTTACTTCAAGAACAGATTCGACTTCAGGCAAAGTCGTCAGCAAGATAACATGAACTACGGTACATTCATCTTATAGTCACTAATTCACGTAAATTTAATTGTACAACAAATTACCTCATGTACATCACGTGCCCCTGTGATGTGCTCGATTATACACGAAAATGATCTCCGACATATAATATCATGCCTCCTTCCTTGCGGTTTATAACTCTATCACTTTCAATGCAGATGTATCCTGCAATGATTGGAGAACAGTCTACATCTATGATATGCCACATTTCTGTGACAACACTTATATCGGGACTTAATTCATCCACCATCAAACTTAGCTCGAAGGTTTTATTTCTAAGACTACGAGCATTTGTATTGCACATATGATGTTTTGGGAATCACTCGTTTTACCCATACAAGTCTTGAAAGCATTGGCTTTCTAAACGTGACTACCCCGAAACCCTGGATCTTAAGGCTTGTTTCGCCATTTTGCTTTCAGGTTTCTAACTCAGTAAGGGAATTTTTCCACTTGATTCGATCCTCAAGTAACCATTCTGGTGTTATACGAATATTCGAATTACGAGTTTTGTATGTTATTTAGTATAACATTCCTTCCCTCATAACTGCTACCATGACATGGTGGTTGGGCTTGCCTATCGTAATGACTCAGCCGAGCTATATTGGCCAGAACACAGTTCCTTTAGGTTCTACCGTGCCAGGCAGTCGGGTGGAGAACGGTAAGAAGTAGTAAATTAAGACCCATAGCAAATTCGTACTACTTATTGTAGGAGGGATGACAGCAGTAAGGTGTTTTCCTCGGGCAACCAGCATCTGCGGCGATGATGACTTTTCACGACGAACGGAAGGGGTTAGAAAAGGTTGACCCGAAAAATGTCACACTTCATTTTACCCCACGGGTTTCCGTTTCCGCCGGTAATGTCTTTTAAAGTGCGGAGCTAATACATCAAAACCCTCCCACAAAAAGGCCGTACACAGCCGGCCCTAAGAAGTTTTCCGTTAGGTTCCTTAGTCACGCTTCTAGGTCGTTAAGACCACCCCGACCGTTGTTCCTACCTTGACGTGGTGGTCGGGCTTGCCTATCCTGATGAAGCAACTGAGCTATACTGGCTGGAACAACCGTTCCTCAAGGTCCTGCCATGTCAGACAGGTCGGTTGAAGAGCGGTAAGACTAAAAGCAACAAACCTAATGTCCGAAGGCGAAGTCGTACTGCTGACTGTACAGAGGTGTGACGGCAGTAAGGTGTTTCCTTCAGACAACCAGCATGACAGCGATGCTGCCTTCCCACAAGGAGGGGTGGGGTTAGAAAAGGTCGACCCTAAAAATGCACACCTCACCTTACCGCACGGATTTCCGTCTCCAGCGGTAAGGCCCTTTGAAGAACGGAGCTAACACGTCAAAATCCTCCCACAAAAAGGCCTTGCGCGACCGGCCTCAAGCGGTTGTCCCTTGGACACTGCGGTCACGCTCTCAGGTAACTAAGACCACCTCTAATCCAATTTCCTTTTCAGGTACCTCCAGAAGAACCCTTCCACGATGTTGCTTGGAAAGACATACAAACAGCTGTGGAAACAGCAGTGACATCCATTAGTGACTTAAACCACAGAGTTACAAAGAACCAGTGGATTTCTTCAAGGTCTATCACACTGATGGATTCTCGCAAACTCGTCCCATCAGGTTCTGAACATGATGAAGAGCGTAAACAAATCAGATCTAGGTTAAGAAAAAGTCTAAGAGACGACCGTGAGCAGTGGTGGGTAACGAAAGCAAAAGAGATGGAAAAGGCGGCGACTATAGGGAACACAAGACAGCTTTACAGACTAATAAAAGAAACTGGAATTAATAAGTCAAGTGTAAGTGAGATTATTTCGGAAAAAGACGATACTCTCATCTGCTCCCAGTCCAGACGTTTAGAACGATGGGCGGAACATTTCAGAGAACAGTTCAGCTGGCCTTCAGCTACTCTACAACTACCCTCCATTCCCAGACAGTGTGAATGGAACATTGAAGTAGGTCCCCCAACTCTTGCTGAAGTTCAAAAGGCTATAGTTAATCTGAAACGAGGAAGGGCAGCTGGTCCAGATGGATTGGCTCCAGAGGTCTTTAAGGATGGTGGTCCAATTTTAGCGATTAGGTTGACTAATATTTTAGCTAAAATCTGGGAGTTAGACGTTATCCCATCTGACTGGTCACAATCACTTATCGTCCCAATATATAAGAAAGGGTCAAAATCATCCTGTGACAACCACAGAGGGATTAGTTTAACTAATATAGTATCTAAAATACTAGCCTCGATAATTATCAGACGCCTAACTAAGACTCGTGAACTGCAAACACGAGAGAACCAAGCTGGCTTCAGACCTGGTCGTGGCTGCATCGACCACATATTCACCATTCGTCAGGTTCTAGAACACAGGCATACTTATCGGCGTCCGACAATGGTGGTCTTTCTTGACTCCGTAGACCGCGAGATTCTGTGGCAGTGTCTGTCATTGAAAGGCGTACCCCAGAAGTACATAAACCTTGTGAAGGCTCTTTACTCGAACACTACTAGTCGAGTCAGAGCTTATGGCGAACTGTCATCTACTTTTGCAACCTCAAGTGGTGTCCGTCAAGGCTGTCCACTTTCTCCATTTTTGTTTAACTTCATCATAGACCTACTGATGGAAATAACTTTCTCGTCGACTGAATTCTCGGGTATTGATCTCCTTCCAGGAGGTCCACTTATCGACTTAGAATACGCAGATGACATAGTCCTGTTTGGTGAAGACGCTGACAAAATGCAGAGTCTTCTGGTAGCACTAAGCAACAATGCCAGAATGTTTGGAATGCGCTTCTCTCCCTCTAAATGCAAGTTGTTGCTTCAGGACTGGTCTGCGTCAACACCTGAACTAAGGATAGGGAGTGAAGTAGTCGAACGCGTTGACAACTTCACTTATCTTGGAAGTCTGATCAGCCCTAATGGGTTGGTGTCTGACGAAATCTCAGCACGGATTCGAAAAGCTCGTTTGGCTTTTGCCAACTTACGTCACCTTTGGCGGAGGCGAGATATCCGTCTATCA